CCCCCCCCGGTGCGTACACAGTCCGTCTTGGGTCCGCGGTCGGGCTGGATTGTGTCGGGCCGGTTGCAGCGTGTGAGAGCCCGAGCAGGCCGGTCCAGCAGCAGCAAGCGCTGCGCGCGGGGACGTGGAAACATTTCTTCTTGTTCGTTCTACTTGCAACACACACACACACACACACACACACACACACACACACACACACACACACACACACGCACACATGCCGCCGTGTGGTCGCGTATTCGCCGGACAAGTAAGTGGGAAAACCGCGCGATGAAAGAACCCCCCCCCCCTTCCTTCCCCCCTCAAGTGACCCTATCAAGTAGCAAGCCTCGTGTGTCGGCAAAAGACCTGTCATACAGGGTGGTCCACAGACCCCTTCCATTATTTTGCTCACGGTGCTCACGGTGCTCCACCGTGATTTTGCTTACACTGTACCGCATGCAGGAGTGCGTGCGGGCTTGCCTACCTTCCACGGATCCTTATAGCCCCGTGTGAGTATGTAACCCGCCCGCACGACTGCATGCGGTACAGTATACGCAAAATAATGGAAGGGGTCTATGGACATTAATCCCCTAATGATATGTTTGGACGAGCGGGACGACTGAGGAGTGAAACAGCAGCATGCAGTGTCAACTCCAGGGGCGCTATTTACCGAAGACTACAGCTTTGTGCAAAGCAGCAAGCCGTTGCAACCACCCCTTTTGCACCGTTGCGGTCGGCGGTCGCCCAGCGCTCTGTGACTGACTTGCTGGCTGCTCCTGCTGCTGACCGGCGGCGCCGCCGGGGCCACGGGTCGGGGCGGCACCCGCGGCGCGCCGGTCAGCAGCAAGGGAGACGATTGAATCCGCCTGCAAAACATAACGGCAGGACGGGCTGATTGCGTTTCACTGCGGGATGTATCGCCGCCTCGCCCGCAGCAAGGCAGCAGCCTCACCATCGGCTCCGTTTATCACTGCGCGGGGCGGGGCGGGGAGGGGCGCCATTCCTACTGCAGGAGCCGCGACTGCAATAATGACGGTAATAATAAGAATGAGGAGCTCGGCTTCAGCGTGCTGCTGCTGCTGGAGCCCCCCGCCCCGCGCCGCGCGCGCTTACACTGATGCGTGACTAAATGATCACCACGGCGATGATGACGACGACGACGATGATGATCGCTTCATACTCCGTGATCGTGGCGGAGCGTCCGACTTGTGCCGCTGGGAGTAATCATGACCTCGCCCCCTGGCTCGGGCCGGGCCGGGCCAGGGGCCGGCCGGGTCGCCGACGCCTGTTACCGCGGCTGATCTTGCATTCAGTCAGAGAGGGCGCCCCCGGGGGGCGGGGGGTGAGTTGCACCGCAGCACCCTTGCACCGCGCTGCACACCGCCCCGCCAGACCCGGCCCTGTCGCGCCCCGCTTCCAATAAACACCGAGAGAAGGAACATTAAAATTAAGCATTAAGGCGACTATACTCTCGGTTATAATCCCCGTGATTCCGCGCGCGCCCAGCATAGTGGAGTGTAGTAGTTGTTGGCGGCGCACTAAAAGTGGCAGCCAGCCCGAGCCCAACGGTGCCCGCCACCGGTCCTCAAATAATAACGGGCCATGAGGACAAGGAATAAAGTGGACTTCTACCCGGAAATTGGGCGCTAGTGTCCAGTTCGGTCCGGCAGGAGCGGGGGCATCACCGTCGCCTCCGGGCTCGGCCCGCTCCGCACCGAGTGAGTCATCCCCACGACGGGACGGGCGCGCGCCCGGGGCCGAGCAGCAGCGCCGCCGCCCACGCCAGAGACGATCCTGCTGCACCGCCAATAAAGCCTACAGTAATGAGGGCACAGCAAAAAAAAAAGGAGAAAAAAAGGAAGAAACAGAGGGCCATTCATTTTCCGAGCCCGCGGTATGGTGGCGAACTACTACTGGCTGCTGCTGCTGGACACTTTCTCGCCAGGGCGCGCGCGCTGCACCGCGCGGGGTCGGGGCGTTTCTCAGGAAATATTATTATTGTTGTTCCGGATTCTCAGGCCGGAACGAAAATCTTACCCGTCGAGAACGGGGGGGGGGAGAAGGGGGAGCGGCTTATTATTGGCAGCCCCGCGGGGCCGCCTTCGGGTAGGTCGGGGCGGGAGGGGCGACCATAGCCGCCGCAGCCGCTCACACAGCACGAGCACAGAGCACACAGCCCCGTGACCACCGCGTACCGTACCGCGTGGACCGCATGCGTGCCGTGTCGAGCAGCCGCGAGGTCACGGGAGAGGGCGGCGCGGGAGTGCACCCCGCCCCGCCCCGCCACACCACACCTCGCCGTGTTGTGCCTTGTGCCCCACCACCGGCCCCACCAACCATACCACGCCCCCACACGACGGGACGGGGGCCCCTGCTGCCGTAAGTCAAAGTGCGGGCACTCACCATCGGGGGGTTCCTGTTGCCTGCCTATGTGATGTGGTTTGCCACGGGCACGCCGGCACGCCTCACCGCAGTGTGTGTGTGTGTGTGTGTGTGAGTGTGTGTGCCGAAGGTCCTAACCCGAGCCCATGCAGCTCCACCTCCGCTTGCCTTCACGGGCCGCTCCAGCTCCCCGGATGATAATTGCCCTGGGCTATAAGTCGGGCCGCTGGCCGCGGGCAGATTGACCGGTGCGCGACCTCGACGCTCGCCCTGCTGGCCTTCCAGCTGCCTACCCCGCCCCACCCAGCCCCGCCACCACGCCCGATCGCTTGGTATTTGGGCCGATCCGAAATTGGTCGAGGGAGGGCAGTTCGGCATGCTCAGCCAAACAGCCTGCTGGATCTTCTCTCAAAGCGCCCCTGGGCTGTTACGGATTACTCGATCAGGCTACTACATACTATTTATGAACATGTTTACATGTACACGCAGAGTGGGTGGCCACACAACGGGTTCGGCTGTCGTTTCTGACTATGGCGCCAATATGCTCTGACTCCGGGCGCCGCCGGGCGCGTATGCAACCCGCCCGCACGACTGCTCTGCGGGCCAGTACACCCATTCGCTCGGACGGCGTCCGGTGCGGTACTACTGCAACTGTACGGTTGGTGATTAATTTTAAACTGGACCTCTGGGGAGAAACAGACGACACACGGTGATGCAACAGTTTGTTTCGT